ATATATATATGTATATGTCATATTAATTCGTGTTTTCAGACATGTTTTATATCCCTCTGTAATTGTGCTTTCGCTTATATTTCGCTTGTAACTTAACCCGCCTATTCGTACTTAGGTGTACTGCTGCGGTGGTTGCAGTCGGATCATGTGGGCAGTGAAATTTCACACATAATCATCGACGAAGTGCACGAGCGCACGGTGCAGACCGATTTCCTGCTGGGTCTGCTCAAGCCGGTCCTAAAACTCAGGTAAAGGTGCATCCGTCGTATACTCTAGTGGCAGCATTTTGTCCAATATTTACCTGATTTTATCTCCGACGTGTTAGCAAGATGATATATTTAGATTGGCAACTACGGCGCAAATAATACAAAAGCCTTTCATCCTCGCAGGAGTGGTGCTGTCCTATAGTCTGCGTCGCAGTTTCCGCGATGCCACAATTGCCTTTCATTTCTATCCGTGTTTTGGTTTGATCAGGCGATCAACGGATACAAACACATAAAACTTGAGAATTTAACTCATATCATGACTACATGTACATAACAGTTCTGAAGGTGTTAAATCCAGAACAGTCCTCAAGGTGTTCCTAAATCCTAAACCATAAAAACCATAAATCATAAACCCTAAACCCTAAACTATAAACCCTAAAATCCATAACTTAGCAAACTTACCCATACCATCGATGTACATACAGACCTGACCTTAAGGTTATACTTATGAGTGCTACGCTGGATGCTACGCTGTTCGACAAGTACTTCCGAGCTTCGGGCTGTTCTCAGATAGCTCACGTAGACGTTGAGGGCAGGACCTTCCCTGTCCATCCGATATTCCTGCAACAAGCTGTACGGTTTGCGGACTATGTTATAGAGGTATGGTTGTATTATCAACGTCGTCTCTTTGTATGTATGTGTTGGTTTACGATGAATATTCAAACTGAGTTTTAGCGATGTATGTTGATGTTCTTTTGTGTTGGTCTTGGTCTACGATGATATAAAGAGGTGTAGTGGCAGTTGGCAAGTACGTGGATGTGAGACTCATTGCCCATCAGATAGCGTGTGTAGTCTACGGGCAAGAACGACTATTTCCTCGAGATACAATTATATATCCGTAGCGTATGTATGGGTTGGTATAAATAGCTATGCTGGCAGACGTGTTGGTGTAAATGTAATAGCCTATCAGCTTGTGCATATGTAGACTATATCCGTAGCGTATGTATGGGTTGGTATAAATAGCTATGCTGGCAGACATGTTGGTGTAAATGTGATAGCCTATCAGCTTGTGCATATGGAGGTGGATGGCTGGGCGCTCTGTGCGCATCCGGTATATTGCAACATGCCGCTGAGCTACTAGTTGTGACATGTAGGTATGACATGTAGGTATGGGTTTGTTTTCGCGTACCTGTAGGTATAAGGTCACACTTTTCTATCACGTGTGCATACAAGCACCCAAACAGATCATAGTAGCTCCATCTCTGATTAGCCACACCCCACGCTTCTACATGGCACAGCTTCACCACGCGGTGTCTAGTGCAACTAGTATACACATACTTGCGTATTCAAGCAACCACAGTACCAGCCATGATATACACGAAAAGTAAAGTAGACATCACTTTAATTCCTTACCTATGTCACTATTCTATATCAAACCCAAGTATATTGATATGATCATTACATGAAGAGATATGTAGGTAGTTTAGATAGTGTTCAAACTTTTCACGTTTATACCTCTCCTATAACTACCTCTACTATACCTGCCCACCAAACACATAAACAGACAAATAGAGGATTTAGAACGTGTGCTAACTCCTCGCTATTAACTTTATCCGATACACAGGATGACTCTCCATACGCACGTAGAGCGGTGTACGATGCAGCTACTATGTTGGCACTGGAGAACACAAGCAAAAGCACCACTCACCTTACAGACTCTGCAAAGCATCTGATGAAAGGCGTGTCAGCCACTGGGTTGGTTGATGGAGGTGCAAGGTGTGTATAAATAGTTGTTGTATTATATAGCTGTATGGATTTGTGAATGCGTATGCGTGTGAAAGCGTTTTGTGCATATATAATATATAAATATATACGCACACAAACATACACATACATACACAAATACACACACATACACGCATTTATAAATATATATAAATATATTATATACATACATATAT